ATCTTATTTACACCTGCTGAAATAGTTTCATAAAACTATTTATATATCTATGAGCTTTTCAGTCGTCTCCCTTTTGCTGGTTATATCACTGTATTTTCTCAGCACTCATCTGGGTCTCACTTTGCACACCCGCTGTCTGCACAGTGAGATTAATCCTGTCTTGGGATATGCAGAGGAGTGCTTAAATTTATGATTCAAATGGATACAGCTCCTGTGGCAGAAATTGTGAAGAGGTTCATGAATTTTTAATTAGAATATATTAATTCAATGAATATAATTTCCTAAACTAAGTTGTGGTTTGGAGCACAGATGTGGCTTACTGTTTAAGTAATTAAAATATGCACGTCCCCTTAGAATGTGTGAGCCATATCCTGGATAACCAAGTTTCCTTTCAGATGCTTTTGTCTGCTATGCTTGTGTATTTCGGGAGCAGAACAGCAGTGCCTTCAGATAGGCTGTGATAGGCCTCTTATCTGTTACATTACATACAGAACAAGTGGACTGAAGTTGTCATGGAAGGAAAAGTCCCTCATGAATTCAAAACCTGACATTCAGGAAATGGTTTTTCAGCTTCCCATGTATTTTGTGCTTTGTACTTTCTTCCCAGTTGCATTTTGCAGACGTAGCTCATAAATGGTTGCAAAACTGTTTTGAAGATTTTTATGAGGGAAGTCGTATATAAAACCAAAATCACAATATTTAGAAACCTGCAGTAATTTGAAAAGAAAATGTGTGCAAATGATCACATAAATTCAATGTACAAAGTAGACAGGAAAAGCTACCTGTGAAGGAAGCTTCTTTCTTGATCCCTGAGGCAAACAACTAAAGATTTGAAGCATGAGCTACAAATCCTGCTTGTTAAGCTTGCAACTACATTTTCTTCCAAAACGTAGTAGTAGTAGTAGTAGTAGATCTGTAAAAAGCACTTCCCCAGCTTGCACTTCTGCACCAGGGCTCCCAAGGTTACCAGTGTGGTTCTGCAGTCACTCTCTGTGGCACCCACAGTGTTGAAGGGTTGGTGATCCCAGGGGTTCCTGGGCAGTGCTACACCTGACATCCATCCCTTCCTCCAGCTCCTGGATCAGAGCTTCTGCCAGGACCACAGAGCCTTGTCCTGCACTCATCCTCTTGATAGTATTGGCTTTGGATGAAGGAGGAAGAAGGAAGGAAACAGGACTGCTAAGAAATGGCATTAAAGGTGGGAGAACAAATTCCTCTGCAAGCTGAGATTGTTTTAGGTCAGGTGTAGGCAACTTGATGGAGGATGCAAAACCAGCACAAATACCTACTTTAAATTCAGTGGGCTTACTCTACAGGATATTAGCATTACTAATTTTTAAAACTTCCCCTTGGGTTTATTATCAGTATTTGAGATTCTGTGCTGTGCTGACCTTGGACCTCAAGGGGAGCTAGACAAGCTGGTGCTAAGCCACTCTTCGCCTTTTATCTAATGTGTTCCCTGGGGATTAGATACAATTTATGGACATCTCAGTTTCTCCGGAATATTCAGCTCTTAGTTGCTGGTTTTAGTAGTGTATTGGCCAAGTTCAATATGCACCAACAGTTTCTGGGTACAGGGATAGATGCCCTGCCCAGAAACGATGCAAGTAAATCAATCACCTTTGGGAAACACTGGATTTAATAATGTAGCTTAAGGAGTCTGCACTTGATCAGATTGTTGGGTTTCTTCAGAGCACTGTGTAGCACGTAGGTGATATTAATGTTCTGGTACATCTCAGACAAGCTCTATGGGCACATGTGGAGGGCGGTTACCTGGGGCAGCAAGGCTGCTCACGTGCCTTGATGCCTGATGCCTGCTTTGTCCAGACAAGAGCTCTGGAAGTGCAGGCTAGGGATGGCTCTTGCAGCAGCCACTGTTTCTATAAGCCCAGGCTGTCCTTGGTTTCATTTTTATGTTTTGGCTCAGAAGGATGAAAGATGTAATTTAATGAAACTAACCTTTAAAAATATTTTCTGAAAATATTGTATAGCGTGCTAGAGAACATGCCAACAGTACAAGATTTGCTCAACCTTCTACAATTAGCCTTTGGTAAAAAAGGGCCCTGATCCTGATGGATTAAAGTCAACACAACCTGTGGATTTTAAAGTGAGGTTTAATGGATTTTAACCAAAATAAATAGAATTGCTTGGGGCTGATGAAAGTTCTATGATCTTAGAATACAGATACAGATCTGATACAGATCTAAGACAGAAGTTTAGTTGAGAGTACTATTTCCCCAAGTATTTCCCTTTGTCTTGTGTAAATAGCAATAGAAAAAAAATACCATTCTGCTGGAAAGACAGGTAGGAATATTAATCACAACAGTTCAGGACTATCAGGTGTTTTGCGTTCCAGCATTGCGAGGTAGGGCTCTAGAGGAGGGAGAGGAAAGTTGTCCTTGCTTCTGCCCTCCACAGTCTTCTTGGTCCTATAAAACATCTCCTGTTCTAATAGGGGGAGCTTGACAGCAAATGAGAAAAAAGAAAGTAAATTCAATCAGATTTTTTAGGATTTATTTACATGGGATGCAGCTGACTGTTCAGATTAGTAGTTTTATGCTGCAAATTGGAACTTTTAATCTAATTTTAGTCTCAGGCTTCAACTTCACGAGAAACTGCTCAAGCCTAAGACTTGTTGGGGAGGTGAGGCAGCATCTTATAAATGGTAATTTACAAAAAAACTACTGTATTTAAAAAATAAAAATAAAAAGCACTTGGAGCAGAGCAGCTTTTAAAGACAACAAATAAATCATCAGGAACTTGGGATCTAAAGGCCTCTTGGGGACATGGTGGGTTCTCATGACTAGCATACTGAAACTGTAACATAAAACTGATAAAATACTCCTTTTCTCCTCAGTGCAGCAGAGTATGGACAAATGAGGTGCTCACGAATGGCAAGTGTCTGGATCATGGAGCTTGTCTTTCTCTACCTCCTTGCAAAGAGCTAGGCAGGGATTGGAAAGTGTCTGAGGAAGATTTGCAGCAATATGCCTGCAGCCTTTTCCAGGTGCAAAACTTAGTCAGATTCCATTTTGTCAGAACTAATGGAGAGAGAGGGGGATGCCTGGTGCCAGACAGCTAGTTTCATTTATCTGATCTGTGAACTACTCTGGAATTTCCCTGGCCTTGGTCCAGCTTCGGCTTGATTAGAGGAGTCCTTGTTGGATCTGTAAATGGACATGTTCGCCTTTTCATGTCTACTTTCACTCAAGGACTTCATTTCCGTTTTTGTGCTACGGAATCAGCAAAAACAGAGGTGCAGACAATGCACGGTCAGGCGAAATCCCCCAGCAGGGCAGTGACCCGGTGGCAGCCTTGCACATGAGCAAGGACATGGCCTTGAGCCATCCTGTGCCCTCCCTGGCTGCCTTGGCCAGCAGTGCAAGCTGACTCGATTGTGTGATGGCAGAGCAGGCTCCTTTCTACTCCAGATCTCGCAGACTTCCTGAGTGAGTTAATCTGACACCACCTCATGGCAGTCAGTAGTAATTTCCTTTTTAGTATTAAAAGGCTGCATTTCCAGAAAATTGTCAGGTTTTCTTTTTTTTTTTTTTTTTTTTTTTAATGAAATCCCAACAATGTTTCATCACCCTTTGTGTAAACAAAGGGCATAGGAAGTACAATTTCACAGAGATAAGAGTTTTACATGTAGGCTGAGGAATGTGTGAACAAGTAGTCTTTCAGTACTGAGAAACAAGTCCATGTCCTTTTTTAAAATTTTTTTGAAGCGTGTACACCACTGCTTACCCAGCTGTGATGAGTAGGTTATGGAATTCACTTTGCAATAACTTCACAAGGGCTAGGGCTGGCTGAGAATAAAGTAGGAATAAGTGGCTTACCCCATGATTTCACGTGAAGATCAACCAACAAAGTGTAGTTCTCAGTACTGACAGCTGTATTATCCTCCTCCATTGTAACTGGAGTTTTCCCACTGATTTCAGCTAAACATGTTAATAGTATGTGCCTTTTAAGCAGTTGCCTTGCAGTCTTCAATTAGGTACCACCAGTGAGACTCCGTCATCTAACTTGAGGTAGCTGAAACCCAGCCGGCAAGTTGCTCTGTAAGAGTTTCTGTGTCTCTCTGTCAACTGCAAAGGGAGCCTGGATGACTGAGTTCCGGAGTAGATGGTTATATCCTAGATATATCCTAGATATAACCATCTAGGTTTTAGAAAAGTGGTTTGAACTCCATACTGTTGGCAAGTTTCTGTGTGAGAAACTAGTCTTGATGAAAGGTATCTGCATCCTCTCCGTATTTTTTCCTCAGAGAATGTTCTTTTAATGCCAGATTCTTCCTGAAGGTAATTTCTTGGAAATTGCACTTATCTAACAAATTGTGTGGCAATCTAGTGAAAAATAAAACACCAGTCTTTCTATTTTGTTTTGAATGACTTCTGTCTGGCAGTTTTTCTTTATGTATTCTCCAGTGATAAGTATGAAATGAGCTGTTTTACTGGATTATTTCAGAATTTATCCTGAAATCAGTTCTTTCTAGAGTAGCTAATGTTTCCTGTATGAACTGTTTTGAAATAGGTCTTGGTTCTGCTACTCTCTTTCTTTTCCCTTTTTCTCCCCTTCATATTTCTTCTTTCTGGTGTTTGGATATTGCATTAACTTGGTATTTGTTGTATTTTAGGAGAAATCTGATGCCAGCCCCACATCTCTACAACTGCGATCTCAGATTGAGGTAAGCACTTAGATTTTGATCATCCACTTCTGTTTGTTTGTTCTTTAATTTGATATTCTGCATAAATTGGGTAAAGGCTTTCCTAGTGTCTACTCTCAGTGCTACATGTCTTCTTTTGCAGGAGTCACTTGGTCTCAGCAGCACCGCATCAACACCTGACACCGAAAGAAAGTAAGTGAAGGCACAGGAAGTGAGAAAGGAGGGAGGGGTTTTCTTTTTCCTTGGAGTAAATTAATTTTAGATTGTACTGATGTCTCTAGATTTCAGATGAAACCTGTTTTGGAACCTATTCCTTTTCTTCCTCCCTTTTGGCCTTTTATTATTTTGGGGTTTTATGTCAAGGGTGGGTTATGGTTTTCTCTTCTGTGTGCATACACCAAGACAACTGGGAGTCATTTCTGAGGAACATCAATGATTTCACATTCTCTACAAACTACGCCTGCTTTAAAAATTTCTTTCTTTGACTAGACCTAAATGCAGCCAAAAAAAGATAGGTGAGGGGAAGGGAGAGTTACAGAGTTCCATCGTGTTCCTTTTCCTGTGCACTCCTGAGTTTGTAATTGTGCTTTTGAAGAAGGTGCCAAGGGCATGAAGTATTTAAAACCAAGTTAAAAGGAGCTTTAATTTTAGCGTCCTTAATGAAAACCCCTGTGTGAGGACTGAGAGGGTTTCTGTTTACTGTCACCTCCTGCTGCAATGTGTGTGCTTGTTTTCTGTGCCTCCTTCCTTTGATCCCAAGATCTTGGATCCCTGCTGCTCGGGGTAACGTGCAGTGGTGCATGAAGACAACTGACACTCTGTGTCCAATTGCCTACACTTCCATGGGGTAGTGCCAGCTGGATGAGTTCAGAGGGAGTACATGGAATCCGTTTGTGATGGGACATGCTTTTGTAAGGTTTTACAGTCTCACATTTGAATATCCTCAACTGATTCATCACTAGGCAGTTACAGGAAGGTTTCTGGCTTTTGCTAGCTCAGTAGAAGGACTGTCAGTGCCAGAGCAGTGTTTGGTGGATGCAATGTATGGGACTTGCCTGAGCACTGACCATATAGAAGTCAGTTGTATGGTAGTGAACAACTGCTTTGGGCTTGTCTGGAACCTGCTTCATGCTGAAGGTCTCAGATAAATTGTCTTTCAGAGGTGCCTTGTCTTGCTTCATCACTCAGAGAGAAAAGCAGAGATGGTTTGCTTGGGATAGATGCTCATTTTCAAAACAGCCTAAGACAGATAAGGTGAATTTTACCTTGGGTACCATCACTGCCCCTATATTACATGCTGGTAAAAGAGAAGGTCTAGAAGTCTAGGGTTTAATACTTTGTGCTTCCAATACTCATATATGGAAAAGAATCTTTGAAGGATATAATGTCCAACATTATAATGAAAAGAGAAATGCCAAGTAGATGGGAACTGTAATCTGGGAAGCAATCCTGCAAGGTTATCCTATAATCATACAACTTTTCTCTCAGCCTCAAAGCCCTTTACCCATGGGTAAATGTCGTAATCCCACCTCAGGTAATAATGAGATGAAGATCTTGTAGGAGGACAGCACACAACTGGGAAAAACCTCCACTTCCAATTCTAGCCAGCTTCCTAAATTATGCCTCTGTGTAGGTGTTCTACCACAAATAACTGTGTGAGAAGACAGTATCAGCAAAACAGTCTCCTGAGTGACTCCTCTGAGACAGCCCATTTACCTCACTGAAAGGCAATTATATTATCTTAGTTCAGATGAAAGGGATATGATTGTTATGGACCTTTCAAGAATGGAAGTGTGCCATTTGAGGTTTTGTAGAAGGGTGTATGTGATTAACCTGATCATATATATGAAACTGGTGCAGGGCAGATTGTGCCAGATACTTGCACAATAAGAAGCAAGGCCACATGATAATTATACAAGGCGTTGGAAATAATAAATTATATCTACTCAATACTGCACAAATTATTCAAATCTGAAATTATACAGGTCTGTGCCTATTTTTGACAGCCTGCCACATCAGTGTTGACTTCGCCCCTCTAGCCTGAAGGGCTGAATTGTCACAGAAATTGCCTCTTCCATGGAGGCAGAGTTTATAAAATTGATCTGCAGGAAAACGACCAGTTCAAGCCCATCCAATACACCTATACTTTTTATTAACATGCTGAATTTGATAATTTTCAGGGAAGGATGTTGTGTTGGCCCTAGAGATTTTTTTGGGGTTTAGTATATGGCTTTCATCTGAATTTTCTGTGTGGGCATGCTACTAGAAATGGAAGCTTGTCCCTTTGGGGACACTGTTTTTAAGTCACTCTCATGCTGCATAAAAAAATATGTGATAAACCTTTTACAAAACTTCTTTTGTTGTGAGAAGACTAGTTTGCCAAATATGAAACTTGACACAGATATACATTGGTTTCTCATATTCACAAAGGATTTGGGGGACAAAAGGAAAGATTTGTTCAAAACTCATCACACAGACTATCAGGAGCTGGGGTTTTTTGAGTACTCTTCCACAAGTAAGAGCTTATCCAAGAATAGTTATAATTCTACATATTGAAAATCCAAATATTTTCCTAGGATGAAACGAGTCGTTTCTGGTCCAGTATTCTGAGCAGGTTGCTTTAGAAAATAAAGGCAGTCTCAAGGAAAAATCTTTACTGAGATAAGGAGAGAGCAAGTGTCTGGCTGGGATATGGTCACTCTCAGCAGCTCCCTCACCCAGCACTGCTGCCTGCACACCCTACAGCTTAATGTTACCAAAGTCTGAAGTTTTAAAATAACACATCTGGATGGTTGTTTAATTTGCCAGAGTTTAGACATTCCAGACAGAAAGAAGCTTTGAGGGAACCTGGGAAGAGCAATGTTTGCTTTAACCTGATTTGGTTTTCCTTTTCTGTGCTGCTCAGCTGGAAGAGAGAGCCCAACAGTCTCCACTGCATGCCACACTGAAAACAGATTAATCTTGGTGGTCTGTGGTAGGGAAAAATCCACACTGTTTGTGTGGACAAGCAGTGTATGTTGAGTCTTGCCTTGAACCTTACTAACCGTGCTGCCCAGTCTGGTGTAAAGTCAGTGCAGAATTAGTCAGTGCCCTCAGTCCAGCAAGTTGCTCAACAACTATCTGTCTAGTGACAGAGTGATGTGTTCTAACATATATGAGCAGCAGCAGGGCTTGTAGGCAGGCAAAAGGCATTAAATGAGCCTGGAGGCAGAACTGCTTGTCACTGTGAGTCATTGTCATCACCCCCCACCCACGAAGGCATCTGGGGCAATACTACCTTACTCTGTTGCTAGCAACACCATTCCTGTTAATTAGATGAAGCTGCAAAAAAAGACTGCATATGTGAACCTGCTCGATGCATTATATGAGTCCTAGCAAATACGCCTTTTGTTCGATTGCTTCTGACAAAGAAAGAAAAATCTTTGCTCAGAGGCAAAAGCCTCTGAGATTTATGTGAATAACAGCAAGGGTACTGATGTGGCCTGAAAAGCTATCCATAAACAATAGAAAACAAAGTCATGTTTGTTCAAGCTTTACTTCACAACTGCTCTGGGTTTTTTTGGCTTACTGTAGGAGTTCCTTCTGTAAACAGTTTGCCAGGTTTCTAAGTTATGTCATATTCAGCAGCTAATGCAGAGCATGGAATGAGGTGTTTGTAGCTTTCTTCTTTGAATAATAAATCTCACTTCCCTCTGCCCTTTCCAATATTTCCATCTTTTAAACTGCAGTCTTGCTGACAGTTGTGGTGCTGGTGTAACATTGGTATTTCTCAGTGTGCCTTCAATAAAGTGGCAACAGCATCTTTAACAGTGATATTATTCCTTTTAAACAAAAATCTGCCCAGAACCACAGGTGCTTCTATACAGACACATTGACTTCTGCTTTTGCTATAGGAATCATTAGTGTAGAAAACATGCAGTAAATGTGTTCTTTAGCAATTACCGTTACTTCTCTGACCCCATACCATGTTCATCTGGTGATGTATTTTATATACAGTTCCTATTATTTCGAAGAGATGGCAACACCCCAAGGATGTTTACTCAGACAGGGGACCAAGCAGGGCTTTCTCATAATTGTAAACAGAGCATTTAAACAATGTAACCCAACTTTTAGCCTGTTCCCATTTTTGAGCATTCAAGTCTACATGACAGACTGATGAGCTCTGCATGTTTGCCAGGAAATCCAGGTTAAACCCAGTCCCCTGAACTCAGGCTTCTGCATCCTGACTCTCATCCTGTTTTTAGAAGAACTGGGGGGATGTTGCAGAAAGGAAGTTGTGTGTTTTCCCTCTTTGGAAATGGATCTGTTTGCTGTCACTGTTTGCTCCATCAGCCTTTGGGCTGTGTTTCAGATGTGGTGTGTCTGAGATCTGCTGGGAAAGAAAAGGAAGTGGGTGAGAGACTCAGGAGCACTGCATACAAATAGCATGAGCTACAGACATTCCTATATACTAACATTTTTCTTAACAGTTGCTAGAGAAAGGATGGAAACAATGCACAAGGTAACAGTTGTGTCCTGTATCTGATGTTTCAGTCATTCCCATCACCTCTGTGTGGCAGTGCATGTTATGAATTGTCACCTCCTATGTGAATCACCTGCACTTTCTTGAACTGTACCACTCAAGTGCACTCCTGACCAGTGAATGGTCACACTTCATATCAAGTGCCACAAGTCATCCTGCTGTACTCCTCAGTACAGTTTAAACGATGTTGACCCTGTGATACTCAAGACCTAAATCTGAGACTGCCAGAGCAGGGAACTGTCAGAAACACGTGTGTCAGGCAGAAGGAGAGAAGCAGGCATGTGTGGGGTGCAGGTGACGCAGGGCGACATTGCTCAAGGGCTTTGCATTCCCCTGCCGTGGGGGAGCTGCTGTGCCTCTGGCAGCTGGATCCTCAACTCCTACTTCAGCTGCTCCCGAGGGCGAATGTCTGTCATCCTGTGTGTGTGCAGGATGTACCGAGCCACTCACATGTTCCATTCATACAGCTTGGCCAGACCTCTGATGGCGAGTTGGGAATGTCACAGCAGGAGCTGTAGGTTCCTCAGGCCTTATGGCTTTCTCCGAGGTTGTTAGCAGGCAAGCAGTGAGGCCACAGTACAAGTGGCTGCTATCTGCATTGTGTCTGTTGTCACTGCTGGAGAGACGATTGACTGAATCTGTTTTTAAGATTTTTTTGCAATGAATGTGC